CTTTAGGGTTTAGGGTTTAGGGTTTAGGGTTTAGGGTTTAGGGTTTAGGGTTTAGGGTTTGTGTTCAGGTCTCAAATATCTCAAGTGGTGATGCCTTTGGACTTGATCGAGCCCATAGAAAAGATAATCCACACAGACACAGAAAGCAGCATCTACTCCCAGGAGTGGGTTGTCTTCGACGTATTCCCCGGTATGCTGCTGCTGCTGCTGCTGTTGCTGCTGCTGCTGCTGCTGCTGTTGCTGCTGCTGCTGCTGCTGCTGCTGCTGCTGTTGCTGCTGCTGGAGCCCATGCTGGTGGTGCTGCTGCTGTTAACTGATGCAGATGCTGCCGGTACTGCTGCTGCTGATGCTGCTGTCGATAAAGCTGTTGTTATTGCTGCTGCTGCTGCTACTAGTGCTGCTGCTGCCGCTGCTGCTGCTGCTGCTGCTGCTGCTGCCGCTGCTGCTGCTGCTGCTGGTGCTGCTGTGTCTTGTGTGCATGCGCCTGCTTGTCGCCGCTGAGGTGTACGCACACCGGGGGGCTCAGCTCTCGATGTATTTTTATTTTTAGTTTATTTATTTATTTTATTTATCACTTTTATTATTTATTTGTTTATTTTTATTTATTTATTTCATTTATTTTTGTTTAGGGGACCTTTTGAGCATCAGCGAAGTTTGGAAAGGCCGAATGCCTGTGCGCATAGAAGTCGCCAAGCAAGTCATGTAGTGAGGCCCCAAACCCTAAACCCTAAACCCTAAACCCTAAACCCTAAACCCTAGTTTCGACCCCTAAACCCTAGGCCGCAAGCCCTAAAGCCTAAACCCTAAATGGGGACTAAAAGGGCCCGCATGCATGCGCTTGGGGCTTTGGCCGCATGCATGTGGGGGTGTTGGGGCTTTGCATGCATGCGCGCATGCAAGGCTTTGGGGCTTTGCATGCATGCACGCATGCATGCATGCACCCACCCACGCATGCATGCATGCATGCACACACGCATGCACGCATGCATGCATGCATGCATGCATGCATGCATGCATGCACACACGCATGCATGCACGCATGCATGCGGGTTTGCATGCAGCGCCACGATGAGTCTGCATGCAATGGGTTTGGTCCACTCCGACATAAAAGCCCCAAACTTTTTCGTCCACCACGACGGCAGAATTTACTTGGGAGACAACGGGCTCTGCACGGTGAGGCCCCACGCCCTTAGGGGCCCCCTGGGGGCCCCCCGGGGGGCCCCCCGGGGGGCCCCCACGCCCTTAGGGGCCCCCTGGGGGGCCCCCCTGGCCTGGGGGGCCCCCCTGGGCTGGGGGGCCCCCCGGGGGGCCCCCACGCCCTTGGGGGCCCCCGGGGGGCCCCCTCTTGCGTGGGGGCCCCCCACGGGCCCAGGGGCCCCTCAGGGCCTTTTGGGCTGCTGCTGCTGCCGGCGCGGCTCTTGCTGCTGCTGTTGCTGCTGCAAGTGCCGCCGTTGCTGCTGCTGCTGCTGCTGCAAGTGCCGCCGTTGCTGCTGCTGCTGCTGCCCGCCTCCCTTGCTGCTGCTGCAGCTGCCGCGTGTGCTGCTGCTGCTGCTGCTGCTGCTGCTGCAGCCGGCGAACCAGAACACGGAGTGTCTGAACGGGACGCGGCGGTACTTGCCTCCGGAAAACATGCGTTGTCAACTTTACGAAAAAAGAAAAATTTTAACTTCCGAAAGAAAAGACTCTTGGGCTTTGGGAGTTTTGCTGTTTCACCTTTTCTGCAAGGCCCTGCCCTTCGACGTCTGGCCCGGAGACCTCGCAGGTCAGCAGCAGCAGCAGCAGCAGCAGCAGCAGCAGCAGCAGCAGGTGGAGCGGCAGCAGCAGCAGTTCGGGAGCAGCAGCAGCAGTGCGAGAGCAGCAGCAGCAGTTCGAGCAGCAGCAGCAGCAGGAAGCTATGCCACGCGACAATAGACGCGGGGAGGAGCTGGAGGCAGCAGCAGCACGGCTTAGCTTCTTTGGCTGCTACTGCTGCTGCTGCTGCTGTCTACTGCTGCTGCTGCTGCTGTCTACTGCTGCTGCTGCTGCTACCTAGAGCTGCTAGTGCTGCTATCTAGAGCTGTGGCCGCTGCTGTCTAGAGCTGGTGCTGTTGCTATCTAGAACTGCGGCTGCTGCTGTCTAGAGCTGCTGCTGCTGCTGCTGCTGCTGCTTGTGCTGCTGCTGCTGCTCTCTAGAGCTGCTAAAGGGTTTCTGCTTTTCTCTTTTTGCTGCAGCGGCCATAGGGAATGTAACGAGAGACGACTTGGACTTCACCGGCTGCCACCCGGACACCCCAATCCTCATTTTGGTGCGTCACCTAGGGTTTAGGGTTTAGGGTTTAGGGTTTAGGGTTTAGGGTTTGGGGTGATAGTCCAGCAGGTAGGGTTTACACGTGAGTGTCCCGTGCAACTGTCGCGCAACTAGGGAGCGCGAGTGGCGGCTCGCCTCTCGTCTGCGTGCTCAGGGTTCAGGGTTTAGGGTTTAGGGTTTGGGGTTTAGGGTTTAGGGTTTAGGGTTTAGGGTTTGCGCAGGGTTTGATTCGCCTGCTGCTCACGCCCGCCGTCACCCTCCGCCCCACCCTCCGCGACCTTTACCTCCAGTACCCTCTTTTTGGCCTCAGCAGCGAAGCCATAGCCAAGGGCCCCAAGCTGCGAGATGTCCGCGAGGCTGCCCTCCTTGCCCAGCCCTCTCTGGCCTCTTTTCTCCCCCAAACCCACCCCTGAGGGGCCCCCCGGGGGCCCCCGGGGGCCCCGGGGGGG